GGCAGCTGCAAAAACTGCAATGAATCTGTTCACACATATGTCGGAGGCGACAGTAAGAGAGAAGGAGCTGATGAAGGCTTGTACGGACCCCGAGCTGATGGCTGCTCTGGTCGGAAATGTGAAGATCACAGCAGCAGGTTTGACGCAGTTGAAGCAGAAACAGAAGAAAGGCAAAAAAGGCGGGAAACAGCATAGCTAAGGGTTAGGTAACACTGCGTTATATTGCTGCTAGTGGAATCTTTTATTAAATAGAAAGAGCATTCTGGTTCGTAACTTTGTATGTTCGCCTGTGCAAAACAAAGCATCAAGTTACAAGTCCAAAGTTTTTTAGCTTTCACTAATCAAGGAATGATTTTTAAGGCTTGCTTTCCCTGCCATTTGTGTTATTGAGTGGAGGGTTCTAATGAATTCTTTTGGGGGGAAATTTGGGGGAAATTACAAGAAATGCCATAAATTCCAAAAAACATTTTCAGAAATGCCATAATCCAAAAACCCTTCCGAAAAATGCCATAAAACACTGTTCATCGGATCTAGAAATACATTTTTACCCTTGACATTAAATACATTAAAATGTCATAAATCACTGTTCATCGGATCTAGAAATACACTTTTACCCTTGTCATTAAATACATCAAATGTTGATATGTTATGGTAGATTTAATTGGTGGACGAGAATATATTTAATTGGTGGACGAGAATAACGGACAAAGTTAGAGAATTTGATGGACAAGGACAACTGTTTGAAGCATTAAAAGTTTGAAATTTTGGTGGATGAAAATATCATAAGACTTTCAAAACCTGATTTGGTTACTACCTATTATTTATCGTCCATATGACTAAAATTAGGTAATCATTATGTCCACTTCAGAATTAGAAGAAGATATCATCATCCAAATGTATGTGTAGCCCGAAGACACGATGGAATGGATAATTCGAACATGTGTTATTGTGGACAATATACGTGTAGTCTGAAGACGCGACCGGTGGACAACTCGAACTTGTGTTACACGTGGACAATAACTTGTCCACTAAAATTGT